GCCTTTTGGGATTATCGCGCTTGGTGGCATTTATAGCAAATTCTATTATAGATTTTTTTTTAAATTTTAAAGTATTAAAGTTTGGTTCGTTGTATAACCTTTTGAATACCACTCGATGTTTCAGGATTACCTAATACTTTTACCTGACACTCAACGTATTACCAGTAACACCACTCCTCTTTCGGAGTCGTGGTGTTGCTGCGTTACGCGTTTCGTGACAGGTAAAAGTATTATCCGGTAATCCTGAAACCTCTTGTGGTATTACATTCGAAAATTCAACGTTGTCTAGGCAACGTGAAATTATCACCTATACAAGTCAATTGAACATTTTGACGACACAAAATAATTAATGTTTGTATTGTTAATTAGAGTCATTAGAGACGGGAATCAATAGTAACCATAGTGACACGATTATTTGATGTATTTGTCGAAAGCAAAAGCCATTAACACAAACACAATCAAACAACAATTTTTATAAAATTCGTGAAATATAAAACCATTCGTGCTTAAAAATTAACCAGATAGTTTTCATTCAAGTTTGTTGTACAAATTCCACTCGTTCTTCGAACTCGTGGAATTAAAACAACAAGCTTTCATGAAAATTATCGGTAATTTTTAAGCACTGGTGGTATTACCCCCGACAAATATCTGACAATATGCCTATTAGCTGTGCTATTAGATATTGCTCTGTAGGTTGTTTTTCAATGCAAGGAAAGTGGTTTATTATTTTTTCGATGTCCAATAGAAGAATCTAGGTATGTATAGGGTTTTCCAATAGTAACGCTCGATGTTTGACAATAGCCCATGACGAACTCGATAGTCACACAGGTGCTATCTTTAGCAGCCGTATTCAATTAGTCTCTGCATTTTATTATGGAGTTGGAGCGTTACACGATTGAGCAACGCGTCGTTAAAAATTATTATCATTATCAAAACCAATGTTCTCTCCGGAAAACGTTTCGTGCACTCCGTGCAATTTATGGTGTCAACGATCGTCTTTTAGAATCCACAATTGGCCGACCTAACGTCACTGGATTTTTTTCTCTGGGCTTTCTAAAATCCAAAGTCTATGTTGACAAACCTCGAGCGGTTGCCGCCTTAAGGCACGTTATTGCTGAAATTGAACCACTTTTATGCGATAACGAATACTAAATTAAATGATTCCAACGACAATCTAAAATTGCCGGAGAAATGTATTGATAATTCGGATATTGTTGAAAACATCTATGGAGAAGTACTAAAAGAAGGAAGATTCAGGGACAGTATAGATAGTGTCGAGAACTGTGATAATGGTGATCCAAATGATGCTATTCTTCCAAAATATTTAAATTCGCTTAATCCGCCGAACTTCCCGCCCCGTGAATTACGATTGAGTTATTGTTATGCTTATTAGAAATCTAAGCATCAGTGCAGGTCTTTGCAATGGTACAAGGCTATTAGTTCTGGAACTTGGGGATAATCTGTTACGCTGTGAAATATTGACTGTAGATAAACAGGGAGAAATAGTGTTCATAAATCGAATAAATATATACTGCGAAAACGTCTACCCCTTAACGTTCAAACGAAGACAATTTCAAAATAAAATAGGCCCTTGCAATGAATGACCATTAACAAATCTCAAGGACAAACATTTGATAGGATAGTAATTGATCTCCAGAAAGGATATATTTAGTCAAAAAAAAAAAAAAATAATACTCGATATCTCGCAACATAACACAGCACATAAATAGTTTATAACTCGGTTTATAAAACATCTTGATTATGGTTATGATTATTCTGTTCCATAAAACAGAATAAGATGCACTGGACATACGCACACCGTACATTCAAGAAATCGATTTAAAATCATTATGATATACCATACAAAAATAATTGGTCAGCAACTCCATCCATCGCATTTGAAATTTCTTCACTAAAATGACATCTATACAACTTATCTCGCTGTTACATTTAATGTATAATGAACATTTAAATCAAAAATTATGCTGTTTATTATATTATAATTATTTTGATGCACTTCATTTAAAAGAAGCGCGCGAAGCGCGCTCATGACCTAGTATTTTAAACCTGAAAAATCCGATGTTTACATTCCAAGACAAAAGGGACATCAAAATACAAGACATAAAAAGGTCAGGTCGAAAACTTGAAGAAATTTTAGGGTAAATAAATCGTAATGCGTTGGGAAATGCAGGTAGTTATTTTTTTCTATTTGGGGACAAGCTCAAAACTGATAATTATTTCCTACGCTCTACTGAAAACAGGCCTATTAAAAACAAAAAAAACAACATTTCCACTCAAATTTCCACATTTGCCTGTCGAATAAGAAGGGCATCCTGATCACGGCACCAAAATCTGTAGTATAACATACCCGGGTTCGTTCAGCAAGATTGAGCGGTGTGAATTTTCATTATCTCTTCTTTTAACAAATATTTTATAAAAATGAAATGAAAAACAAATAGAACCTACGTTGTCGAAACTTACAATTTTACTAACTTAACATGCGCCCGACAATAGCAAAATGAGAGAAATTTGAGGGAAGTTGGGATATGTAAAATAAACGAAAAATTTGTGAAACGTCTAATTTATTATTGGAAAATCGTACCGTTCTCGACCTGGAACTCACAAAGGGGAAGAGCACGGCAGAGAAACCCTCGATCTAACATTCCTCAAAAATCGAAACATACTGTGTCATTTTAATTAATAATTGTGAGTCAAAATACTTTAAATTAGGTACCGCCCCTGTCCTCGTGCTAAAATTTTGATTCCACACACTATATCCAATCAACACTACCTATATTCAATACTGAAGAGTTTTTGGTTAGTTAGCCAGTTTCACCAGCAGGTCCCTGTGCAGGAGGCTACTCAGCTATAGTTGCTATTTTGAGCCAATATCTCTAGATTGATTTTTCAATTTGTTTGCTAGGAGATTCGCTCGTCAGGGTAGGAAAGTGTTAGTGGATTCAATAAGGCCCTAATGCACGTTCTGAACACAAAAATTAAAATTCTAGCACAAAAAGACAGCACATAATTTTTCTAGGTTTAAATTTACTTTTTATCTGCGTTGTTCACCGCATGAAACGATTTTTGTTAAATACATGAACAGTGCACATGTTATAAAATATGTTATAAACAAACAAAAAAACATGAAAATGAAAAAAAAATAAAAAATACTTGCATAAATTAAACTCTCAAAAACAAATAACATTTATTCAACTGACCTGTGAATGCTCCTTATTACACACAAACTAATCAAAAATTGGATTGAACAGTCAGTTCATTACAAAATAAATATTGAATAATGAACAATGGCGGACACTAGCTTGTTCCCTACTCTCTCATTTCGTCTACCCTTCGGTACCTTTCTGTGGTGCGCCCCCCCGTTCCCATAAATTTCACAGCGCATACATGGTTGCAACATTTTCTTTTCTTTAGCAAACGTTTTAAAAAGTTAAGAGATGAAGAAATAATATTTTAAACAGGTGGTTTTCCTCACTACGGTAATTTAATGCAATTTGGCAGATTTAAAGAAATACTAAATGCTCGATAAAAAAATTCAAAATGCAGTATAAAATAATAAGAAATGCCCTATATTTATTAGAAAATCATATAAAAATACACAATTTGCAATAAAATATCTAAATGCTCGATAATTTACGTTCTCTATTAAATAAAAGTTTGGATTTTACAGTAATATAAGTACTCGATATTTATATATTCAGAAAACTGATTAATTCAGAAAACATATGGATTTCACACTACTGAGCATTCGTTACATTTATTTTTACTGTAATTATCCGCTCATGGCTAACGCAAAGTAACCCAAACTTACCCAAGCAATTATTGTATTAGTTTTGGAAAAAAATTGGACTTAATATACCAAATAATGATGGAAATTAATCGAATTCAGATCTTTCACTCACTTTTGAAACAGATCAGAGTTTGGTACTGAGCATTCCTCAAATTAATCAAACCTGGATTATTTTTTAACAAATATTTATTGATATAGGAAACAATTTTATTTGGTCCTGAGCATCCGTTATATTTATTGAGCCTACATTATTTTTATCCAATATTCAATAATTTAGGAAGAATATGAAATGGTTATGGTCGGAGCAATTATTTTGCTTTGCTATTGCTTTTATAGAATATTCAATTTCTTGTCAGGCATTTACTTGCCTATTATTCGAAATAACCTAGGAACAAAGCAAATATTTTGAACAAAATTGAAAGCGTCAAATGCTATTGGAAATCAAATCAAAAACCTGCCACAAAATAAACTCGCCAAGGCTCGATTAATAATAAATTATGGTAATGTCTTTTAACGACCAACATAGCTTTCGCAGCGAGGAATTTAATTTTTGTCGAGGCCAGCCAAGCCAGGCCAGTATTCATATTGTATTTAAGCCATAAAGAAGACAAATGGACATATAGAGCGTGAATTGTGGTCGATTCGTGAGCTCTTTCTGCATCATTCTTTTTCGTTCCAGTCCATGCAAAGCCTCCTAAAATATAGGCTAATGGGATTAAATTGTCTTATTTATGGATTCTTTCATCATTCCAAATATGGAAAACAAGGCGTAAAAATGATTTAAGAAAAATGGGGTATTTTGTATATTTACCTACCTAAAAATATTTATGATTTGATTAGTTTTTGGTTAATATTGACGATGAAATACGTTTTTGTTCTTACGTTATTCAACTCCAGAAAAAAAGATCTATATAGAAAAACAACATTAATTACCAGTCCCATCCCTATTTTTCTTATCTTAGACTACCCCTGTTCGCTTCACAAAAAAATGACCCGACAGAAATTAATCATGGTCCATTAACCAAGGCACTTTCTCCATTTATTTCAGGAGGCACCACTACGCAATCAAATGGACAGATGCAAAGGGTCAACCGACTGAAATTTATCTTTGAATAAAATGGATATCAATCAATCCGCTCTCATCATATGGCATTGCTTGAACTGTGAGTGTTGGAAATAGAAATTTTATGGGATGGATACTGAAACACATTTAAGTAAGTTCATTTTTATTTTATTGTTTTATAGAATAAAATCCCAAATTTTATGGACAGTTCGTTCTCTTTTAAACTCAATCACCGACACATAAATGTTGTTTGTGCGCTTGGGTACAATATTTTAGAATTTAGGAATAGAAATTGCTCGAAAACAATTCATGGAAGGCCAATATATTCAAACAGGCATAATCGAAAGCACAATGAAAATTCATCGATACTCAGCCGTTAAATATTTTGTCAAACCTCTATTCATTTAACGCTTAATTCGAAACAAGTATTTGGAAAACATATCGGCATGAGTATTCAAAATCTGAATTTGATGAATTAGAATTTTTAATTTAGAGCAAATCTGAAGATACCTATCCTGATAAATGATAAAGTTTGTCCAACTAGGTACCTGAACACAAAATTCTCAATCTTCCACTTTTTTCGTTTGAAGTTACTTTGTTAGCACCTTCTTTAAGAGTTTCCTCTGTCCTCTAAAACAATACTATTAAATTCAATCGTTACCTTATCAGCTCTACAATAAGTTGTGATCCTATCTTTTTTATTCTGTTTTTGTTATTCTTTCGTTTCTTCATTACCGCTTCGCTCCTCACCAGCGGTCCCAGTGAAAATGTAGTTATTTGCCATTGTTATTTGCTAGTGAAATGCAACAACAATAAATATAAAGGTTTTGAAATATGACTCTCTTTCAGACAACGACTCTCCCGAGGAGGACGTCTGGGATAACGTGTGGTTGTTCATCAAGGCAACGATTATGGGAAGCATCATTATAGCTTCAATATTTGGTAACCTACTGGTTATAGTGTCTGTCATGCGCCATCGAAAACTGCGCATCATAACGAACTATTACGTTATATCGCTTGCACTGGCCGATATGTTGGTCGCTATGTTCGCGATGAGTTTTAATGCTAGCGTCGAAATTTCTGGACGGTGGTTGTTCAGCTACACTCTGTGTGATGTGTGGAACAGTTTGGACGTTTACTTCTCAACCGTGTCCATTTTGCATTTGTGTAATATCAGTATAGATAGGTGAGCACCATGAAAATTTAACGCTTCAATAACCTTTGTGATGTACTTCTCCTTTCACAGATATTACGCCATATGTAAACCACTTAAGTACTCTATGCACATGACAAAAAAAGTGGTAGCAATGATGCTGGTCAATACCTGGGTAAGTCCAGCATTTTTGAGTTTTTTGCCAATCTTCATGGGATGGTATACGACGACCGAAAATCAAATGTTTAGAAACGAACACCCAGACATATGCAAGTTTGTGGTAAATAAGTACTATGCTGTGATTAGTAGTAGCATAAGTTTTTGGATTCCCGGCTCGATCATGATTGTCATGTATTTGCTGATTTTTAAAGAAGCGAATAGGTAAGTTCCATATAGGTGATCTATGACAAATGTATTTATATATTTTTTTTTTTTGTTTTACTTGAGTACAAAGTAGTAAATTAACCGAGTAATCACGTTTTCGGATTTCACTTTTTTGGATTTTATTTATTTTATTTTTTGCCTATACAATATTAACAAGCCGTTTGATTTTGGCTGCCATTAGGAATACCTAAGGAAACTGTTTGTGTGTGTCACTCATGTTGCATCAGGTGTTCGTTAGGGTGGTCATCTCGGTCCACTGCCAATAAACTTATTTGTGAATGATATCTATATGTCATGTTTTCACCACTGCAAAATCTTATTGTGGGCCGTCAATTCCATTTTTTTCAAACAGATCGATTAAGTTGGTGATCTAGTTCTGGTGCGCAAAAAAAAATAGTCATTAAATGCTGAAAAATATATAATACATTTAGTTTTTAAAGAAGCGTGCGTCTCATATTGTTGAAAAGATATGCTTTAAATGATGTGGAGTTGGAAAGTGTAAGTTATTCGTGGCCTTGGTGTCATTTGTTGAACATGTTTCATAAAATGCGATACCGGACATTTCAGGAATATAAATTATGTACCCATAGGAGGCATTTGGAAAATTATCTGGTTCCCGTATAATAAGGTAGGGTGAGGTAAGGTGAGTTGAGGTAAGGTAACCTCACCTCACCTCAGCTTAAAACCTTTTAAGCTCAAAGTACCTGTTGATGCTAATATAGATTTTAGTCACAGTCACAGTCGAATATTAATAGTATTGATACTCTTAACGAAACGTAATACATTAGGTCTGTTCGCACAGAAATCACAAACTAGTCAGAGTGAATTTTATTGGTGGGAACTAGTTTTCTGACTGTTTGTGACTGTTTTCAACCAATAAAATTCGCTCTAACTTTTGGTTTGTGATTTCTGTGCGAACAGACTTATTACCTATTATGACCAGCTAATGATCTGGTGAATTGATTCATGATCGCACTGTTTCCAGAGTTGTTATCTCTTCATGAATTTCAATGCTCGGTCACTAACCTCTGTTACTTGAGGCAAGTGAATATATTGGTTCTGGAGGAACATCGTACGTATGGTTGAAATAACTTGCTCAATAAAGCGACGAAACTAACCAATCACTTTGGCCATCCGGACAAGAGTCGATCGAAGATGTCGTCGGAGCGATTGTTATCGAGTATACAAGATGCTCGTTTATACGGTCGATGCGTCGGTCGCGTCTGCCATCCGCACATGGGTTATTTTCTCTCTAGTCGATTTGCGACTATCAAACTAGAAAGAACCTTTTTTTCTCCTTCTCGTATCTTCTAACGTGTTATCTTAGTCAAAAATGAGCAATTCCGCATACGGGTCGTTTAGTGGTCGTTCAGAAACGTACGATTTCGAATTTCCTCGTTGCCAGTCTCGTGCGATTGGCAAGGGAGCGCATTATTCTAGTGAATCGCGTGAGACATATAATTCCTTCGACATTCTATGAAATGCCAGAAATTTTGCGTCACTCGCTTGCATTTCTCGTGCACCAATATACCCGAGTGTAAAAATTTCGTTCAATGTACGGATGTACCCATAATCTTCTTCTCATCCGCCGATACAATAGAAACATGACAATGTCTTCCGCATCACTACTGGAACGGCTCATTTTTGACTAAGATACGTCAGAAGATACGGGAAGGAGAAGAAGTAGGTTCCTTCTAGCTTGAAAAACGCGAATCGACTAAAGAGAAAATAACCCTTCTGCAGATGGCAGACGCGTCCGACGCACGGATCGTACGAACGAGAATCTTGTATAGGTAGGGGATTACGATTGCGTCGACTATATCGCCGATCGTGTGCGAACGGCCTCAGGAATATATGCGTTAGCCAAACATTTTGATCATATTGTTACGGTGTGGTGCCTTCACCAAACTGTACAGAATCTAACTTGGAATCTAGAAAATACTGGCTTTATTCGGGCAAAAATATTATCGCGTTCATTCTGGATTCTACATGAATAGATTGCGGATATATAAAGGCCGGTATTAGTTAGTAGTTTCAAGTTTGACTGTGATCCGATTTAGATAGTGAAATTTTGAAAGAGGTGTAAAGAGCTAAGTTGTTTGAGTTAATTAGTGTTGGAGTGTAGAATAACGTGGAATAAATTATAGTTGTGTTAATTGGACTTTGATTTTGGAATGAACGAACCCAAGATTTCTGTCACGCACCACAGAGCCGTGACATTGATGTCAGAAGTGAGACATGATTCAAGGACTGCAAAGTGAAATCCGATTGCAGAATAGTGCACGCACACTAGTGTGAACACTACAGTGAACACTGGGACAGTTAGTCAGTGTAAGCAGTGACAAACACCAAAAGAGACTTAACGGATCGTGTAAATTACCCCGGAAGTGACTGTATACCCGATTTTGACTGTGAATTTTCAAGTAGGTTCTAGAAAATTCTATTTGGAAACCAAGGGAGATATTGAATTTGTGACTTCACCGACGTGTTTGCTAAATCAATCGACATTCAGAAAAGACATTTCAAGAAAATTCTAGAACATTCTATTCGAGAATAAAGCAAGTTATCCAATTTGTGACTTCACCGACGTGTTTTGAATTTGAATCAAAGACCAGGGAAAATATTTGAAGAGAGTTGAGGGAAATTCCAGAACATCCTGTATATGCCTATTGCGAGACAACAAGCAAAAATGAAAGAACAAAAAGTTGAAGAACTCCTGTGCAAAATGTTGGAACATCAAGAAGCCAGACGACAAAAAGAAGAAGAAGAAGCTAAACGACAACAAGAAAAACAAGACGAAGAGGCCAGGTGATAAAAAGAAAAACAAGAAGAAGAAGCTAAACGACAACAAGAAAAACAAGACGAAGAAGCCAGGCGACAAAAAGGAAAACAACAAGAAGAAGCTAAACGACAACAAGAAAAACAATACAAAGAGGCCAGGCGACAAAAAGAAAAACAAGAAGAAGATAGGCGACAACCAGAAGAGGCTAGGCGACAACAACAACGGCGAAAAGACCTTTTAAAACTGCAGAAAATATTTCAAACCAGGGAACTGTCGCTAACCTAGAACAGAAGATTGAAGAAGTTAAAGACGATGTGCAAGAAGTTAAAAACGACGTTCAGGAAATAAAAGCTGAGGTCAAAGCCGATGTTCAGCAAATAGGACAAGAAGTGAATAAATTAGAAATACAGTCCATCAATCCAGTTAGTGTTGGGGTAGTATGAAGATAAAACCACCAACTTTTGACGGTTCTACGTCCTGGACCATGTATATCCGACAATTTGAAGCTGCTGCAAATACCAACCGATGGAACGATCAAGAAAAAGCACTGGTAGTGGCGCTACGAGGACCTGCCTTAGAAGTCCCATTCCTCCAATTTACCAACAGAATTACCAGCATCTAACAGCCGTATTCATAGTCAATCGCCAGTGAATCGCCGTGTGCTGGGCCAAATACGGCGACTCGCTGGCGATTGACTATGAATACGGCTGTAAGTCAGACAATAGAATTGCGCTTCGGAGACCATCACAGACAAGAAGTATTTAGAACTCAAGTTAAATCAAGAATTCAAAAACCCGGCGAGAGTTTACAAGAATTCGAATCGGAAATTAAAAGGCTACTGAGTTTGGCGTTTCCTGCACCTTGGGAAGACATGCTGGAATGGATGGCAGTGTCTGCGTTCATTGATGGTTTTAAAGATTCCAATATCCAGGAAAACCTGAGATTGTCTAAGTTCAGGCAAAGTAGCGGAGCCCTTGTCCGAGCATTAGAACTGGAGGCTATTTTTGGTGCCTCACGACCCAGAATACGAGCAGTGTCGATTGAAGATCCAAAGGATAAAAAATCGTTAAAAGAAGATGTTAGCCTCAAGATTGTTATGAGTAAGTTCATGGAGAAAATGGAACAATTATTACTAGAACATAGACAAACGGGAAACGACTCCAGACAAACAACACCGAGAAACCGAGTAGAATGTTACTGGTGTCATAAGCTTGGACATATGCGATGGGACTGTAGAGTAAGGATTTCTTCTCCATCTAGGGATCGTTTCCAATGCTTTTCGGGATCTAGAGACGCCAGCCCAAACAACAGACAGGAACCAACTAGTACGGAGGGGCGGATGCTGGCTAGTATTGACGAAGCCCCCAGGGTTATTTACATAAAATCATTGGGCAGTCATTATAGAGGATTAAAATTCGAAGGAAAAATTAATAGAGAATTAAAAACCATCACTTTTGATACGATTGCTGAAGTTTCTATGATTAGAAGAACATTAGTCAAGTCTCGGGCAATCGAACCGCTCACTAGAAACATGTCACTACGAACAGTCACGGGCGAATCAGCACCAATTCAAAGAGAAGCGAGCTTTCTTTTGGATCTACTACCTTTAGGCACAGAACATTATTCGCCGATATAGAAGATGATTTTATTTTGGGAATGGATTTGATCCGCCAACATGGTTTCTCTTTCGATTTCTCTATGATGATCCTATATTTGGTAATGAAGAATTTGTCCAAACTACACAAGAAAAATCCCAAGCCGTTAAGATCCTGGCCACAAACCCAGTGAGGATTCCTGGAAGTACTGAGAAGATCATTTGCGGAAAATTGGAAACAAACTCTGGGTGCTGCGTTGGACTAACACATAATTTTTTTGGAGATGAATCAGAAAGATTCCTCGTACTCTAGTAAGAACAAATGGAGACATTATGATAACAATTGCCAATGTTTCTTCCGAAATAGTAAAAATAAAAGGAGATATTATTGGAATTCTCGAACCTGTTAAGCAAATATCGAACTGTGACCTAACAGATAAGCGACATTTTAAAAAATCGAAATTGGATACAGACACCTTAATGCAGACTTTGGAGAAATCATGGAAACACCTCGATCCAGATAGACTTCAGGAAGCCACAGATTTTATCTTGAAAGAAGCAGACGTATTTGTGATGGATAATCAAACCGAGCGAACCAGTTTAATTCAACACAAAATTGATACTGGATTGGCGCACCCAATTAGACAACCACTTCGACGTATGCCAGTAGCTAAACAACAGGCAGTGGAAAACCAAATTGATAAAATGCTTCAAGAGAGAATTATTGAAGACTCAAATAGTCCATGGTCTGCGCCAGTAGTATTGGTTACTAAGAAAGATGGAAGTCTCAGATTTTCTGTGGACTACCGAAAGCTTAATAACGTCACCAAGAAGGACGGCTTCCCTCTCCCGCGGATAGACGATACTTTAAAAACTCTATCGGGCTTCAAATGGTTTTACACCTTGAAACTCAAAAAAGGATACTGGCAAGTGGCAATACACAAAGATGATAAAGAGAATACTGCCTTCAGTACCAGAAGCGGATTATACCAGTTTAACGTAATGCCTTTCGGATTGTGTAATGCTTCAGCTACGTTTGAGCGACTGATGCATCTTGTTTTGCGAGGCCTTACATGGAGAACTTGCCTGGTATATTTAGATGATGTCATGATGAAATTTGTTTCAAGAATATCTCAATAACCTGGAAGAAGTTTTTGACCGCTTCCTGAATGTCAACTTAAAACTCAATCCAAATAAGTGTTTTCTATTTCAAAAGAAAGTGGAATTCTTGGGTCACGTGGTATCTGAAGATTTTATGGAAGGAAAGATAGATGCTGTCAGGAATTGGCCAAAGCCAGGCGACAAACATGAACTAAGGAGTTTTCTGGGATTATGTTCTTATTATCAAAAATTTGTGGAAGGTTTCGCCAATATAGCTGCTCCGCTTCATCGATTAACTGAAGAAAAATCAATATTCAATGGGACCCAAGAATGCGATTTCGCTTTCAGAAAATTAAAAGGAGCATTGGGTAGGAGCCCAGTGTTGTCCTATCCTGATCAGAAAGATATGTTGCTTTTGGACACAGATGCAAGCAACATCAGTATTGGAGTTGTCCTTTCACAAATCCAAAATTCATAAAAGCATGTCATAGAGTACTATAGCAGAACCTTATCAAAGCCGGAATGAAATTATTGTGTCACCAGAAGAGAGTCGCTTGCCATAGTAAAAGCACTCGACCATTAAGATAAGTATCTCTACGGCCGTAAGTTTCTAATTCTAACAGATCAAGCGGCTCTAAAATGGCTTTTAGAAATGGAAATTCCCGAAGGACAGCTTGCTAGATGGATTGAGAAATTGCAGCAATACGATTTCCAAATTAAACATCGACCTGGAAACCTGCATGAAAATGTTGATGCTCTGTCTAGACGGCCATGCGAAAAAGACTGCAAGCATTGTCAAAGAATCGATATGCATGAGAAAAACAGTGGTCCTGCTCTGAGAAGAACGGGTCTTATCGTCGATGATAAATAGACTACCAAACAAATGAGAGCAGATCAAGAAGCAGACCAGGACATCGGACAAATGTTACATCTTAAGGAAAATTATTGGAGGGAAGTGTCGGACAAGATCTTGATTTACAAGGCGTCGTGGCCTCAGTGGAACTCTCTGGTCATAGAAAATGGTTTACTTAAAAGAGTTTGGGAAAATGCCGATGGAAAATCCACTAAGAGCCAACTGGTTGTTCCAAAAGATCGAGTAGAAGAAGTATTAAAAGAAAAAAGTACCTGACGGAACTGCAGGGGCACATTTTGGAGTTAACAAGACTTTAGGCAAAGTTCGGGAATGCTTTTACTGGGTTCACTATCATGAAGACGTTAAAAACTGGTGCCAAAAATGCGACATCTGTGCTACCAGTGAAGGCCCTAAACTAAGATCTCGAGGGCCCATGAAACAATACAACGTCGGTTTCTCATTCCAACGAATAGCGATAGATAATGCCGGACCATTCCCTGAGTCAGAGCGTTGTAACAAATACATCTTGGTTATCATGGATTACTTCAGGAAGTGGCCTGAAGTTTTCGCTATTCCCAATCAAGAAGCCATCACTATTGCCCAGGTGCTAGTGGGCGAAGTTTTTAGTCATCATGGTGTGCCACTAGAGCTACATTTAGATCAGGGACGAAATTTCGAATCTGCCATCTTCAAAAAAGTTTGTGAGATCATGGGAACTCGTAAGACAAGGACAACTCCTTTACATCCACAGTCTGATGGCATGGTAGAACGATTTAATAAGACTATAGAGGAACACCTGACAAAAGTGGTCGTAAAGAACCAGCGAGATTGGGACAAACACTTGCCCATATTTTTAACGGCTTGCAGAGCAGCTATTCACGAATCAACAGGTGAAAGGCCAGCTAGAATCGTTTTTGGAAGAGAACTTAGGTTACCTTGCGATCTGATGTTTGGAATACCTGAAGAAGAACGGAAAGAAATTCGAGATTATGCCGACGAGGTAAGGGCACGACTTCTAGCTTGGAATCTAGAAAATACTGGCTTTATTCGGGCGAAAAGGTATCGCGTTCATTCTGGATTCTACACGAATAGATTGACTGTGATCCGATTTAGATAGTGAATTTTGTAAGAGTTGTAAAGAGTGAGTGAGTTAATTAGTGAAGTAATTAGTATTAGAGTGTGTAGTAACGTGGAATAAATTATTGTTGTGTTAATTGGACTTTGATTTTGGAATAAACGAACCCAAGATTTCTGTCACGCACCACAGAGCTGTGATAATATGATTTAAATAATGTTACTGTTTTATGTTGAGATTTGCTAATAGTCATCATTATTTTTCTTTTCTTATTTTATATAGGGTATAAAATAGATAAATAGAAAGTCTTAAACACTAAAATTATTGCTGACGAGAATCGATTTATCAGACTTCCGCTCGGTTTATTCATCTTCAAATAGACTTTCTGGTAACTATTCGCAAGATAAATTCACCGTCCAATAATTCTATTAGTCGGCGAATAACTGGCCGACCAATGTAATTACCGATTGCGTTTTTATCCGTCAGATTGCATACCTGACAGTTTATCAGAAGGTGAATAAACCAGCGTTTATTTATCACATTCCCAAAAAATGTACAGCTAAGAATTTTTGTTTTTCTTTTTATTTTCCCATAAATACAAAAAAGTGAATATTTTAGTAAAATTAGAAATAGTTTTTAAAATAATTCAAGAGCGCAGAAAATTAAATTTACTTTGGCGATTTCTTCAGAACCGAAGTTTGACGAAAAAAATAATTGTTTGCATTGTAATTGCTTGCGAAACTGGCATCATCGCGCCTACGCCTGCCAGCTGCCAAAATCAATGAAGTCAACTTTTTATGAAATAACCAATGAGTAAACAATTTTTTTTTGCCTATAGTAAAATAATCCATAATTAGATTCTAGGCGTCGCTGCTTCGCAGTTTTGACAGTCCCGTCAACAACACTCTTTTTCATTATTTTTATTGAACCGGATTTTTATAAAGCTTTAAATGTTTACAAAGTTTTTGCCGTTCCAGGGAAATTAAGGTGAGATAGACGGGGGGAAAAAAAAGGTTTGAAGACTAGCAAAATCGACCCAAAACACTGTCGTTACCCTTTGCGTTTCAATATTGGTTTTCAATTATTGTATTATCCGATTTTCCAGTTGATAACTTTAACACATTCAAGCGCACTTGGCGAAAGGGTAACATTGAAACAGATAAAAGTTTTAACCAGTCGCATCAGCTCTTTCAAAGTTTAAAAGAGCTGTTCGGAGTGAGTTATATGGTTGCTAAAACTTTCCTAAGTGAAGCAGTTTCCACGTTATGCCCCAAAAGTTTACCTTTGATAGTATATCATGGCAAATGTTTAGTTAACACTATTTTTTAAAGTTTCTCTTGTTCAGCAGTTTCTTGCAATAAAAGATGCATTTTCCTTAATTTAAAAAAAAAAAATACTTATTTTTTTGTTTGTTTATTTTCAGACAAGAAAAAGAAATGTTTAATAGACATGGTGCTGCGATGCTATTGCACGCCAACAACACTAATGGAGATATGTTATCCAACTCTGGAGGCTCTTCTAAAACCTTGACCCTACATGAAATAAATCAAGATCTGCATCATACCCCGACAAGAGAAAGAAGCATAAGCAGAATGAAGAGAGAACATAAGGCTGCTAGAACATTGGGAATTATAATGGGTAAGAATAATTTTCGTTTCTATTAAACTCATTCTCAAAAATAATATTTCATTTCAGGTATCTTTATTCTTTGCTGGCTTCCATTCTTTTTATGGTATGACAGTGTCTCTCTTTGCACTACGTGCAAGTGTCCCGACATAGTAGTCGCTGTGCTTTTCTGGATTGGCTATTTTAATTCTACCCTAAACCCAATTATCTACGCTTATTTCAATAAAGATTTTAGGGAAGCGTTCAAGAACACGCTTCAGTGCACTTTTTGTTCGCTGTGCCAAAGGCCTCCGTCCGATCTGAACTACATCGATCAAAGGAGGCCCAGTATGAGGTATGAAGATAGGACTCGTAGTGTATTTTCCGAAACTTACTTAAAACACAATGTTGACAGGAGAAGTTCGGAATTTGGGTCGACCCTTTGAGTAGACTTTACTAGTAGCAGATTGACTACTACAAGTTTTTGATTGGAAACTTGGGTGTAAGGTTTGGTAGAAAATTGTAAACGAGTTTGGTTTTGTTGGGCAGTTTTTGCTAATAAAATTGTCGTCTTAACTGTGTAGGTAACTTAAAATAAAATAATAACTGGTGTTTATATTATTGAATATCTGTCTAAGCAATCAAACAATCTACTTATACTTTTTTTTAAAACTAAATTATGAATACTTATCTATAGCAAATTACGAGTGACGATAAGTGTTCTGGAATTTATAGTTAGCTCACACTTGTTTATTTCTTGAAAATAAATGGTGTGAATAATTTTTTAAATTTTCTGGTAAAATGCATTAACGATAAATATTGAAAGATGAGCAATTAGCCAAAAACTGATACATATTTCAATTTTTTCAAGAAGTATTATGCAAAATATTATTATAATATACTTTTGAATGTAAATCGTGCTGATTAATCAGATTGGCCAATTTACAAATGCTGTGCAATCAAAACAACACCAAAATTTAAAGGAAACGGAAATCACTTCCAAATTTTTAAACAGCAGAAAAAGTAATTCTAAACGTAACTGATTGGTTAACGAGAATGATAATAATAAGTATTGTCTTTATTATTTGTTTATCCAGACGTTATCGTCAATACATAATAATGATACTAAATAATCGTTTGTAATAAAAATAAATAATAAATTATTGGTGTATTGATGTATTAAATATAGAATGTATTCCTTGGTTGCTTGGATGCCTATAAGTAAATTTTTGTTATTGTGTCCAACGACAAAGTCAAACTCTGTTTAATAGATATTTTAAGCGAAACCTTTGACAATCTGCTGCTAGTTCTAAACAATTTGCCAAAGTTAACAAATCGATGGTGCTGTTATTTGTAAGATTATTTTTTACATTTCGTACATTTTTCAAAAATTCGATTTATGCATGATTGACATGGAAGGAATAAATTCACAATTAGCCATAAACATTATAATGAAAGAAAACATAAATGTACAATAATAATTAGAGAAGTAACAGTCATATTGAAAAATTATTTGATAGTTAGCAATAGGTTCAAATCCTTATCGACACAGATACTTTTTACAATTTTAACTATTCTGTCACTAATTAAATCACATGTATGAGAACTACCTACTTTTTATTGTCATTTCCTGGTCATTTCTTTCTTCAAAACAAAATGCGAGTATTACTCGAATATATTCAAGTCCTTCACATTATATGGTTTTAATTTAAAAAAAAATAATGACATAATCAAATTGAGTCTTCGAACATAAATTGAATTTTTAGAAAAAGGTACAATACACGCAAGTGTATAAAAGTGATAGCTAGTTAAATCTAGTACGGTTTAGTAATTAAATCTAAAAAATCGTTTCAGTTTTTTTTTTGTACTTTCCAGGCAAACAGCTTGTACATAAAATTTGCCAAAAAATGCGTAACAAAAATCTACTAACGATGTAATATAGATATATTTATGTGTTATTGTCTAACCGTCGAATGAAAATACTTATTCCTACTTGTACATAATATGCAAAGTAAGTATTTTGTTAGGAATCTATAGACTATCGGCAATTAGGTGTAATATTAGAGTTTTAATTTTAGGATGCGTTAATTTATTTTCTAAATTATTTTATAAATGGTTTGTTAACTCAAATTTGTACAACTACCTACCTAAAACAACTGAGAACAGAAACTAAATTACGTTAAAAAAATTTCACGGCAAAATAACTTCTACGAAAAAAGGTTTCAATGAAAATTTTTCAAATATCTAGTAGGTAATAATGAAACAAAATATTTCCCTGTTTAAAAATTCATATTGATTTATATACACCGTTACTCCAGTAAAATATAGACTCAGAGTAAATTTCCCTTTTCGAATGCGCCCTGAACATCCAACTCAATATTTGTGTCGGGGTTAGCGCTGGCAATTTTGAGGCGACTGCGTGCGGATTATGAGTGAATATGGAGCAGTGGTCGAACACGCAACGCGCGCTTATAGTCGAGGCGTTTATTAAATCGAACGATACCTATGTCGCGGTACGGGAAAGTTTTTGTAACCGTTACAATATTCGACGTACTTATACGTGATGCTCCATCAGGAAGTTTATTGAAATTATGGTTTCAAAGATTCTGACAAAATATTACAGTGGCAAATTAGAAACGTACCGGCCAAAGTCCATCAAAACACCAGATAGCATTGAGATTCTACGACGTGCTACAATTCGAAAACATGGCCGGGACGCTTCTGATGATTTGCCACTGTACCACTTTGTCTGAATCTTTGAACTCACGATTTCAATAAACTTTTTGACGGAGCATCACGTCTATGCCGAATATTGTAACGGTTACAAATCGTCGCCGTACCGCTACATAAAAATAGTTCGATTTAAAAAACGCCTCGACCATAAACGCGCGTTACCCGTTCAGCCACTGCTCCATGTTTACTGATAATCCGCACGCAGTCGCCGCAAGAAAAGGGAAATTTACTCTGAGTCATTCTGTATCTAAGCCTGATAATTAATTATTTGTCGTTTGCGAACTCAAAAATTTGGAACTTTCCATAGAACAAGCAAATAGAGGCATTTTCCGTAATGGTTGTAGAAAGAGGACTTTCTGAAAGTACTGAATATTAGGTAGGTTACCTACCTAGTCTTATTTTTTTACAATGTTATTTTATTTTTTTCTTCTGTTGAAAACGGTGAAACGTCTTCAAATTTTATTTTTCCAGTGATGTCATTCCCCTAACCTCTCGAAACAATGTGGAGTGGGAGCCTCGAGATGATTGAAAAATTGAGTCATGGTATAGGAGATGTGGTTATTTTTTTATTTATTTGGTTTTTGTATGACCAGAGGCCAGAAAAAAACGTAGGTATTCTAAAGATAAATAAATAGATATACATTTCAAGATTGCATTAAGGTGTGGCTTAGAAGAACAAGTAAGTTTTAGTAAAACAATCAGAAAGCTCTATTCTACAATTAGCCCTTTCAGTCTCTTTGTATATGTACTCGGAAATGTGAGCATAGTTTCTCAAGTTAAATTTAAGTCGAGTATTTTGAGTTTTGCTCTGCTCTTATTCTCAGTTCAAACAGGGGTAGATTGTAGATTGCATTCGGAGTCGTTACAGTTTATTCCAGTCGCTCAAGCACTGCTATCTTTTCAGATATTTTGTGCGTGATTCTAGTTGATGTTCAAGATTTTTAGGCTTCTCCCAAAGAAGGTCAGCTTCCTGGGGTCTTAGCCATACCCTTTCAAGGTGTTTCCGCCTTTTGCAGAAGTGAGCAGGGCATTAACAGATTACATGTTCTGTAGTTTCTGTTGCTTGTTCCAAAGATCTACAGTGTCTGATTTGCCTCGTTGCCCTCTATGTCCTGGTTTCATGGCACCCACATCAGGATTTCGTTGCTCCTTCCAGCCAGTTGCTTAAGAATATTTTTACCCTCCCACACTAGCTGCTAATTGCACTTGATGGCTCCTAGAGCTTTTAAAGCCGCTTGACTTTCGGACAGTTTATAAATGTGCTCTTCTAAAAGGCCTGTCTTAAGGCACTCTTGAGAACAGATGTTTATCGGCTTGAAATATGGTGAGCGTTTCAATCATTGCTATAAGGTGAGTTAAATGTTTGGTCCAGTTATTTCCAATACGACTCCTTCCGTTAGCTTCGAACCATCCATGTACCACAGTGATGCACTGTCCATTCGCGTTATTTTACAACCACTTCCTAATATAAAATATCAAAGTCCACTCATATGATCTGTTAGCTTACTTTGGCACTCGAGCATTATATACATATAGACTAAAGGATGCGTAAGTGGCCATTCAGATCACTAGGTTTAAATCTTTTTGTCTGGAATAGCCTATAGACATATATTCTTACATAGGAGGCATGTTCAGCAGGTAATGAAAGTTTGTTGCCCAATATTCAAGAATTTTGCGATTTATTTGTCCAAACATTTGTTTCTGAAATAATTCCCCTTCAAAAACTATTGGACATAGCCTCCAGATCTTAAGTTTTTATCCAAATACAGCTTCAGTTTTTTATGGTACCTACTTAGGCAATGTTGCCGTTTGCCGTCCTGAGTTCAATGCTAGTTCAGCTTGCAGTTACTGTCAGTCGATCGATGATCGATTATCGATTTTTTTGACCAAAACAACGACGTTTCTGATTTCATAGAATTCATTTCAACAAAAATGGCTTGAAATTGAATTCCAATTTTTCGAATGAAATTGGCCTGTGATTCATGCGGCCAAAGAAAACATGATGGGTAACTATTCTGTTTTGAGGCAAATTGAAATTTCTAGGTCCGGTGGCTGGAGTTGTCCAAATGCCATTTAATTATTTCCAAAATAAATTTGTTTGGTTTTATTTTTTCGACGACCTGTTGAAAATAATAAATGAATGAATGATATTTTGAATAAACTGAAGACTTGCGACATTTTGCTAAATGGAAAAAAAAGTAAAAAAAAAAATATGCGGGACTTTTGAACACCCATGCATATAATTTTACATGGATAGGGAGCCTACAAGCTGATCGGAGAGAAACCGACATCATTTTGTCAACTTCAGTACCCATAAAATCTTTATTATGTTATCGTTTGGCTGAGAGACCGTATAAAATATTATTTGTCCAGCTGTGAAAGTTCGAGGAAAATATGGGGTTTTCATTATAATCTTGCCACCGCACCTTTTCAATTGAATAGAAACTCGTTTTTTTTTTTATTTTGGTTGCAGAAATTTCATTTAAAAACATAATATAATTGATGTTTTAAGTTTTAGATTGAGTAGTTAAGTGCATGACAATTATTTATTTTACGGTTGGCCTAAGACAAAACGATAGTTTCACGAATATGCCTAATTTTAATAATTCTAATTTTTTTTGATAGGGTATTAGATTTTTTAACGGACTAAAAACGGTATTCATGTAATATAAAATAGATTCATGTATTTATATTTCAATTCTTTAGGTACGTA